TATCAAGACTTTCACTCAAGTACTACAGTTGAGTACTTCGTCCACCACTGTTTGTAACGAGGTTCTTTCACTAAAGTGTAACAACAGTTATTATTTTTTAGCTTAGTTGTCCTCTGAATAATACTAGGCATATAATCTGTTAGCCTAACTGGTGTAATGTTGGAGGTTTTAGTATGAGTCAAAAGCTGTAAAACCAGGGTTTTAGATTTATAGAAGCTTTGTGTAAATATGGAAGAATAAAAAAATGAGCATTACCAAATATACGAGAACACACATGTGCTCCTTGGGCAGCCAGTGGAAGAGGTCAGCGGGGTTGGTGGGAAGAATCTCGTCATCTTGGAGTGTAGAGATGGTCTGAATGCACTGCTGCAGCTGTTTCAGACACGGCTTCACGCTTTTTACCTGAGGAAAACCCAAACAATGGAGCTGCTTTTTTCTAATTGGACGCTTTCATCCCCAGATAGCTCCAGAAATGCTGGAAATATCTTTGCCAACCAAACTTCTCTTCCAGCCCTTCCAGGCTGGATGCCCTACCTGTCCAGCATCCAGGTAGTGTGTGACTTGTAGTACTAGGAAGAAGACTCTCAGCGACTCCTTTTGGATGGGGTTTCCCTGCCAGTTTTCAACTATGGTCCCGCACAGACTGAGAAGAGGATGCACCTCGCCCAGCTTCCTCTCCATCAGCAGCAACTGGAGAGTCACAAATTATTTCCCGGTCAGAACAAACAGCTTAAATATGTCAAACTATAGACCATAATTCCTCGAAGCAATTCACACACACTCATTCTATATGTTTAAATAAATGATACGAGGCGCAGAAAACAGCTGATGAAAGAGTAAAAAAAGAAAACTTACCATTCCTTTACTAAGCAGAAACAAAGCCCTAAAAAATAAAAAGAATACGTCAGTTTTCCTGATCAAATGATTACACAAACACATAATAAAAAAAATACTTTCAATTTATAATAATTAGAATGAATTTTTCATATAAAAAAGCTTTGAGTAGCTTTAAAATGTTTATTCGATAAGAAAGCAGGAAGTTGGTTATTTTTAAAAGTTTATATAATTGAACAGCTTCAGGTAAAAGGTCCGTTCTTAATAAAGATGACAAAGTAGTTTGCAGTTTCCCAGATTAACAATATATGTAGTATATGTCATTAAAACTAGGGCTGAAACAATTACTCGGATTTATCGATTATTGAAATAATCATGAATTAATTTTGTAATCGATTAATCTTTAAATGGAGTATAGAGACCGTATAGAGACCGTAAAATATGCCTTTAGCTGACAGAGCGACCCACTTAGAGGAGTAAATATATCAAAATTGTAAAAAAAAATGTAATGCTTTTTGCATTTAATATTAAAAATCTATTCTCTATCACTCTGCTCCATCAGAACTCCTGAAATGGAAAAGTTTTAGTATCACCTGGTTTAATTTCACACAAAGCCTTCTGTAAGGAAGCTTTTGCTTTCTGATTATTAATCAATTAATAGGAAAAATTATTGACAGATCAATAAATTTTCAAAATAATCATTAGTTACAGCCCTAAATAAAACTGACATGTTAAGCTACATATGTCCTATTCTGTCATATTTAACTATGAAAATTGTTATAAAGTTCACAAATAGATCCTGAAAACCGGGGTACGAAGTTTCTTCCAGATGGACGATTTTTACTTTTTTTTTCCGGGCGGAAGGAACTGTTTCTACTGGAAGTTCAGGTTTACTAGTTTTCTGTTTCTTTTGGAGAATATTTAGCCTTAAGCAGGCCCAGATCCAGTAATAACCTTGAGATGGGGTTCAGTGTCTATAAACCAGGGAGGTTTGGGGGCCTAACCAGCAGAAATAATTAAAGAATAAGAAAGCAAGCTGGTGTAACCTGAGTGTACAAGAAAGCGTTTAGTCACTGTGTGTATTCTCATGAAGATTTCTCCTCATGTAGCCTGGTGGATACAGAGGGTTGACTTTTCAATGGAACTATCCCAGTTCTCCAAAATATGACCCATTACCACCAGGACTTTCTTCCAAAAACCCTTTCTTTCCAGTTTCTTCCATTTTTGCGGAAGAAACTCAACCCTGCTGAAAACGGCGGGAAAAAGTTTCTCTAT